TGGTGCAGAAGGACCTGAGTTGCTGGCTTAGGCCGGTAATGTTAGAATCGAATCCATTGCTCTACTATTAAAATTCAATCATTAAAGTAAGAAAATTCACATTTTTTCCAAAAAAAAATGTATTTTCAGATGAGAAAATTATTTAACATGTTTTTATTATTTAAGTACATTCATCATTTTTCTGGGATTTCTGAAAATCTATATCTGTATAATATTAAAGCTCTTAAAGAGTTCTACAACATTAAAAATAAAAACAACCCCGATTATTGTTTACCTATGAGAAATTAGCTATCAAGTAAAAAAAATCTCAATTTTTACAAAAATACACTTTTATTTCATTTACACCAAAAACTCAAACCCCGACACCCCCTTATGAATATACCATCTTTCATTACATAAACTGTTTGTTTATTATAGTTGCTCGTTAATGAAATATTTGTCAAAGATTTTCAACGCAATGTAATAGTTTTCCTTTGACAAAAGTTTTGAATTTTTTTTTAACAATTTTTTTGTTACTTTATAATACATATTGACACTTATGACTTATAGATTATGATATGTTTTAATTAATTTTCATTTATCTATTGTTACTTATATAAGTTAAAGAAATGTTTAATTGATTTGTAAAAATCAATCGTGTAGTTGTCGATTGTTAATGTATTCATCATTGGGTCATCAAACAAGGATTGTCTAATCACCATGATAGTCCATTGAACATAACGGATAACATAACATAACCAAATGATACTAATGATGCTCATCTAAGGGTATTTAAACTAATTTACATACATATTTATTTATTTCAACGGTATCGAAATATTGAACAAATTTGATGAATTTTTGGCAACATCAGATTTGAAAATATTTAAAATATGAGCTGTACAATTCAAATATAAGGCGCAAAGAACTATACCGTAAATATATTTTTTTTATTCCGTATTTAGTATTATTCATTACTATATTTGTGATTAAAAATATAAAATACAAATTAGTCATAATTTTGTTGTTTGAAGTTACTTTAAAAAAACTATAAAAAAATAATAAATATTAGTTACATTCAAATAATATGAATATTTAATTAATTTCGAATTATTTTATTTATTTATTTTACATTACTCTCAATAAAAATTCAGACAAGAATATTCATACATAAAAAAAAGTATAAAAATATATTATTGCAAATTAAAAAAAGAAAAAGAGGAACATTCTAACAATTAAAAATATGGAAGAAAAAGAACTTAAAAATAACATTGAGTATTATTAATATTAACCATTAAATAATAATGTTGTCTATTTAAACAAACTAATTACATAGTTTAAAATTGCATTTCTATTCCTATATCTTTTAAGGTAAATAAAACCTAAAAAATTATATCAATATAAAAATAAACTAAATACTGTCTGACTTTAACTACTATGAATGTAAAATCAAAATTTCGACAACAATATTAATGATAATAAAATAATATCATTGTTTAAGATTTAAACTAATTCAGTAACTATATAAAAAAAAAATCTTATTATTTTGACTATTTAACTATGGAATTTTTAGCGTTATTTAACATAAATCACGCTGTCTCATTAATATTATAAATTTTCACTATTATTATTATCATCATCATAGTATTAAATATTATTAAATTATCTAGTATTCTTATAACCATTGATTGTCTTGGATGAGAATCTACACATATTATTAACAAAACTAATTTTTGTGACTCTATAAAGTTTTAATAGACTAATAATATAATAGCCTGTAAATTATGATAATTTATAATTCCTAATAATTAATAATTCATAATTTACAATCCTGGACGTGTAGCAAAATTGAACATTATTAGTATTTTAGCTTTTATATTATATTACATTATATACTTTCTATGTCATAATTGCTGGATACTTATACATTTATATTTATCAATATAATTTAAATTGCTCGCAACCTATATTTTCATAATATATTAATTTAAATAACAATATGTATGTATGTGTGTCAAATACTTATATTGAACAAATATATAATTATAAAAAACATTTTAAAATATATAAAAAAAAAAAAGTCACGCGCACAGTTGGACGTGGCATAGTTGCAACAAGTGTAGATGATATTTGACAGTAATTTAAATCACTATCATTAGAAACGCTTCAATGCAAATCTGTAAATAGTGTTTAATTTTAATCAATTGGTGGATTCTTCCAAAAGCAAAATTAACTCCTATTTCCTTCATTATTCCTGATTAATAGTTTTTTGATTTAGAAGTATTATATATAAATAAATATTTATTATAGCAATTAAATTAGTATAAGATTGATATTTAATAATTTAGTATTGTAATTTTTTCGGAAAATGTATATGAGATATACATTTAAACTATAAAATTTTAAAGTAGTTATTACTTTTATGGCAAAGTGTATAAAAATTAAAGGGATTGATACACAAAAGTTCAGAAAATAATTTGTGGTTAATTATGAATAAATGGTCTACAAATAAATTTTACCAGAGTCAAGAATATAATTGTTTTATTCAATTTTTCGTGTTAAATTTTGTTTTCCACTTCAAAAAAAAAAAAAAATTAAGAAAAAAATGCAAAATAAAAAGTTATTTCGGGTAGCGTGGTTCGAACTTTATACCCCGAATTAATAAGACTGTATATTTAATAACGCAACCACTATGATTGGCATGAAAACAATTTTTAAAAAGAACTATTTAAGCTAGTTCAAAAGGAGGTAAAATAATCAAAAAAAGTTTAAATTTATATTTAATCCAAATTTGATTTATGTAAATTTTATACAAATTAACCCATGTATAATTATTTTTAAAATAAATTTTAAAAAAAATTGAACACAAAAATAGTATGTTTTTAACTACGGCAGCCATTTGTAAGTAGAAGTTGTCGGTACAAATTCTTTTTTTCTAATTATTAGTACATAACATAAGCTTTAATTTGACATATGTTTAAAGGATGCAGTTTTTCCGGAACATTTTCAAAAGTTAAGTTGAAAAAATTGAGTTTTGTACAAAAGTTTCTATTTTGAATCCCTCCCTGTGGGTAGATAAAGGGTCAAACACTTTTAAAAAAATTTAATCAAATTGAATGTGAAATATCTAAGGTTCCCGATGAATTTGTTTGTAACCCTTTTTTTTTTTTTTTTTTCCTACCGCCGGCATGCTGTGGACCGCCCTGAAACTACCGCGAGGTATTGCTTCAGGGCGGCCCACAAGTAATAACCCTAATCTGATATAACCTAAACACAAACCCAAACCCCTATTATATTTCTTTCTTTTGGTTATTACAATATGAAAATAGCTCGTTGTCTTGAGACGATCATTCGTATTTATTTAATATACAGAGTGTTCAGTAAGTCAGGAAACGGGGTTCTATTGTTCTCATTGTTTGTAACAATGAGAACAATAGAAACCCGTTTCCTGACTTACTGAACACCCTGTATAATGAAGAAAAAAATTTTTTTAAATAACTCTTTACTGTAAAAGTATTTTATTTTCCAGCTAAATTACATAAATGCATATTAAAAAGTTAACTATTTATAAGTTTTTACGTTAATTAAAAACTTTATAATATGTAATGTTTAAAATTAGAATATCGTAGGCAAATTTTTTAAATATCAACTAATGGCGGATTTACAAAATATTTCTGTGAACCAAAAATACACATAAATTTTTTAATTTTAAATGAAATAAAAATGTACAAACCCTATATGTGTAATATAAATATAACGATATCTGATTCCACACAAACACCTTCGGATATCTAGTAATGCTATTATAAAATGTATTAATCGAAATATAAAAAAAAATGTTAAATAAGGTTTGTTTTCCGTTTAACTAAAACTAAAATTAAATTAAAAATTAAATTTTGATTTGTATAACTTAACTGTAACCTAAACCTAAAAAAACATTTTATTCCAATTATCAAGTAATAGGTAGTTTTTTCAATGAAACTTCTTGTAAGTTACAAAGACTGAAATGCAAGTTATTAGCAATATACTTAATCCTTATGTAGTTTTAAAGATACACGAATGATTTTCAAATGTCAATTGAAAGGAACTTATATAGTTTCTACTACTTGTATTTACCCTTATTAATCCCTGCCAAATAATACAGAAGTGGTCATTGACCACTTCAATTTTTTTTTTAATTTTTAGGTTTCATTCATTATGTTGTATTTAGATTAAAATAATATTTTTAATGATCTTCTCATTTTTCCTATGTAACCACCCCAGAAGTACAACAAAAAGAAAAAAACTTAATATGAGATTTAGATTGAATAAAACTATTCTTGACGCTAGGAGAAAACATAGACTTGTATCATTATTAATACACTAAGAAGCTTTAAGACATCTTTAACAGTTTATGAAGACACAATATTCTAACTACTAGAATAAAAGCAAAATTATTCATTAAAATATATTGTAATATTGTCATAGTGTAATTAATTTTTTATTTTGCATCCAAAATAGTGAATTGAAATAATTACAATATATATAATAATTCCATTGTATTGTAATATATTACATATATAATGGTATAAAAAATAATTTTGTAGCAAAATCTGGGAAGAAGTCTGATAAGTCTTTCTTAATGCTGTCTTCCCATCGTATTTGATCAGTGTTTTTTAAAAGTTATATTATTAAAAAGCAGAAAATATTTCTTGAAAATATTATATTTTATAGAATTGTAATTTTATATTCCTTTTTTTTTTTTTTTTTTTTTTTTAATTCTAAAATTGAAGAAGTTTTTCAAATTTTTGGCGCAGATAGGTTCAACTAGATTTAATTTACTCTTTTTGATACATAGACCAACAAAATCAGCCTAGTGAAAGATGAGAATTATCATGCAGAGACGTAATATAAAATTACACCTTCACAAAATTAATACTTGTTCAACTTTCATAGAAGCTAAAATATAAGCTCTAAATTTAATAAAAATTTCTTACCATTTTACTCAAAAAAAAAAAAAGAAAGACCATACTTAAATACAAATCTTGAAACTAAAGAAAATATTTATTTAAATATTAATTTTTAGGAACCAAAAATATCTGTGTCCTTGGAATAATTTGATATTCTTAAAATGACTTTCATTATTGCTAGCAAAACTACAATATTTTATATTTATAAGATTTAAATATTAACATAATTTTGCTGAATAATATACTTAATGAATTTTTATATTTTTTATAGCGAAGAAACAAATAAACAACAATTTACTGTTTATAAAATATTTAAATCAAATATTAAATATTATGCAGTTATTATGTACATATTCATAAAAATACAAAACAAAATCATTTGCCATATCTTTGTTCATGTCCACTATATTCTTCCAACAATTTGAAAAATTTCATAAAATCTATATTGTAGTGAGTTTTCAGTGTTCTATAAAATAATAAATACATTTAATTGTATTACTAATGTAAAATTTAATATTAAAAAAATAAACAAAAACTTACAAAAATTCAGTCACTCGAGTGTGCCATGGTAGTAAGCCAAAAGTTGTACATGAATCACCACAAATAACTACCAAATCTGGTTCACTTAGAGGGAATACTTTATCAAATATAGACTCTATTAATTTATCTGAAAATTCTTCTTGTAAACTACAAACATTTTGTAGTACATGAACTAGCTGCATTCTGGAATGTTTTGACGTTAACACATTTACTTGTGTTCTTGGCTCCCATTTAAAGCCTAATAATTATAAATATTAGTTAAATAAAAAAATATACATTGAAACTGGAAGAATGTGATTTTTGTTAAAGAATCTAATTACTCTTAAACAGACATAGAAATCTAAAGAAATTATAGAAACATATTCTTTGTAATATTACGTTCTTAATAATATATGCTATACAGTGATTATATTTAACGTAACATTACAAATTAGCACACATATTCAGGATGATTCATTAATGATAAGACATTTATTTTCTAATTTTTAATAATTTATTGCAGTAATATCTAGAGATAAAACGATTAGGCCAAATCTTGTTTTTGTATCACAATGTAAAATTGATGACTGATATATGGTATACAGCAATATATCGATAGAAAATTGTTCAAAAATCGCTAAACTTTAACAAGTAATAACAAATGAACGGTTCATCAAATAAAAAAAATGTTAAGAACAAAATTATTTAACATTTTTTTTGCTATTATATCATTAAACTAAAAAGAATAATTCACAATAAAAAAAATTGAAGTTTAGGTTTTTTAACTTCCTAGGGATGAAAATAAATTTTTCACTACATATTAATGTAGCAAAATTGAATTAATGATTTGAAGAAAAATTAATGTCTTACCCTAAATTGATCATCTTTTTTATGTCATTAATGTATATAAGTAAGATTTAAGATTATTTTCTGAAGAACTAAAAATTAGAATCAAAATGCCTATGGTTTATTTTAAATTCAATAACATGCATTACAATTTGTATAATATAAATCAAATTAAATGTACAAACATAAAATTAAGTATAAATATTTCAATTCAGATACTTTATACAGCTATTTATTAATAATTAAATAAAATATACATCCTTAGGACATGCATACAACAGATCATCATCATAGATAATAAATATATTAACTCATTAATTAGTCTATTTTTAGGGTACATGGAACTTTTATTTATCGAATTGGTATATTACTACACCACTACATCAAAGCAAATGTACATAATGTCTTTCTTTAACTAATATTAACTAATATAATTATACTTACCATTAATAGATTTTTTTGAATTTATTATCACATCATCACTAAATTCTATTCCCCATTTTAATTTAGTAAGTAAATTCTGATATTTTTTTTTAAAGACAACATATATTTCTTCTGGTTTAATACCTACATTTTTTTAAATAACATAACATTCAGCATTAATAAAATTTTAATTAATTTAATTTATAATTTCAAAATTCATTAAAAAAAAAAAATTATGTAAGATAACACCTTATTTAAAATTTCAATTATGGTGAATTTTTAACTTTTAATGTCTTCAATAATTAATTTTGAAAAATATTTTCAAAGATTAAATGACTTTTAATATGTATTGCAATTTTAAGATATTTTTGAAAAAAATACAATATGTTTTTAAATTTTTTTTTTTATATAATCACCTTTTTAACAATAGTGATTTAAAAAGAAAGTGACTATACCAACTAATATTGTAAGGTTAAATTTGATTCTTAGACATATTAAGATTAATTTTATTTTATTTATCAAAAAATTACATCTGATATTTATCAAAATAGGTCTCTAAATACAAGACTATATGAACTGATTTTCTCAAATTGTATTAGTAATAAATAGTAAAAACAAGACAATATTTTTTAAAACCTAGTTCAATATTTAAAAACAATCCTAAGATCAGTGCCCAAAAATGATAAAATTCCTAACATTCATTCTTTCTACAAAATATACAAATAATCTATTGTTCAGATATTTTTCTAAATTTTGTGTTAAAATACCCTACACTGCTTAAAAGTTAAAACATAATTTTCTTACCATTTTTGTTATGATAGAAACTGATAATAGGTATTTCTAAAAACAAGGACCATGCTATTATTTTTGACACGTCTTCATAAGAAACTTCTTCTTGACATACAGATATTACCAAATGATTTGGAGCCTTTTCTAAACTATGCTTCATATCTTCCACACTTGATCGGTTATGCCAAGGGTCGTAATAATGTCTAATAATGTTCTGATCGATAAGCCATGAATAAATTGCATAAAAAAAATGAGCAAGAAATAGTATTGATGAAAAGAGTAGTTTAAGTATATCGTACATATTAATAAAAACTTTGTGATGCCAGACATCGGTTAAATACGACCAAATAATAAATATGATATCAGTTATTTTCATGTTATCAGTACAACTCATTGATACTAATCTAACGGATAAAAATTGCGCGTGCGCATAACTTCGTCATATTTTCCATGGTACAGTCCTATATTAAATACCTTTTAGAGATGGAAAGTTTAGTTCATTTCTGTGAATAGTTCATTAGTTCATAGTTCATTCAAGTGAATAGTTCAAATGAACTATTCTTAAGTTCACTAATTTTATTGATCATGCTGATATTGTTTGGCAATGAACTATTCATTTTATCACTATTAGTATAGCAGTACACAGTTCAGTTGTAGTTCACACTACTTATGGGCAATTAAGTTATAAACTAACCCTTAACCTGAACATCATAAACTAAGAAAAAATTATTATCAATACCCTCATGGCTCATGTTATCATTATCACCTAATTCAAGGTAGATATACTGACCAGTAGTCCTAAGTTAAATCAGAAATCTGATCTAATATTTGTACATAGTATGAATTTATTTTATTGTTAAACAGTTAAAAACCGTGTAACATTTTAACAATATAATTTATTTGTTATCTAATTGTAAACAGCTATTAACCATTTACAGTATTTCGAACAACGAACCACAGAGAATTTTTAAAGAAGTTCGCGAACTATTTCATTTATACATTGCTACCAATTTTTTTCGAACTGTGAACTGTTAAGTTACAGGTACTGAAACAGTTCAGAATAGTTCATCTAAGTGAATAGTTCAAATGAACTATTCGTTCACGAACTTAACATCTCTATTACCTATAGATCGCTACAGCAATCAGACTATTGGCATAGATTAAATAGGAATAGATAGGCCACGGGAATCAAACAATTAACAACCGTTTTTTTGTTAATTTATAGCTTTAGAGATAGCGCTGCTTATTCTCTCAAGAAATATTAAATAGGTGTGATATTAATTATTAATTACGCATTTTATAAGGTTTCCATATATAAAAATTAATAATTTATTTTTTCAAAGAAGAAATGTTAAAAATAAAATTTAAATACATTTATGATGTAATTTCAAGATAATAATGATATTTTAAAAGAAAAAAAACGTTTATTAAAAATTAATGATTATACATATATTAATGTATATAATGCCCAATACAGTCCATAAATTGTTCTAATTCATCATTTTAACCATATTTGATGCAATCTGAATATTAATCATGGCGCCGAGAAATTGTAATATTAAATCTTACTCTTTGATGTTGTCTATAGTACAATTGTTTTACGATCTCACAAAAAAATGTTAAATTTTATTTTTAATCGTGTTAAGTTTGTAGATTACGTGAATTCACAAAATTTAAAAAAAATAAATAAATAGATGATGGTAAAATTAATACCTTCTCAAATTCGCATCGAAGATAAAATTTTTCCTTTTAATTGTAAAATGTATAAACATCTCAAATAAATGGACAAGAGGAATTATGCAGTACTAAAAAAAAAAATTCGATTTACCATTTAGTTCAATAAAATAATGTTTTATATAAATGATTATAAATCGTAAACTGATATATATATATTTTAAAATGACATAATAAATGCCTATTGATAATACTTTATTCGATAGTAAAATTTCTTTATTACAGTTGTTTAGTTAAATTATAGAAAAGTTATTATAATTAAGTTATAATCTCCCGATTGACATACCTTTCTGTATAATTTTCATTATATATTTAATATTTTGGAAATATCGTATATGATATTTCAATTTAAAAGTTATTAAGCATAATTAATATGAAAAAAATATTAAAAATTTAAATATGGGTGATTAAACTTGAATACTTGGTTATTATTTATATGTAGGTAAATTTAATAGGATACTATTTTAAAATAAATGAAATATTTGAAGCGGACTTAATAAGAAGAAAGCCATTTATGCATATCTAATAGTTCATAATAATACATTTTATTATTATGGACTATTAGATGTGATTATTATATATCTTAATATAGTAATATTAATACAAAATAATATAATATAATAGCTCTATGGTGTTGGGGTACAGCTCCCATTGTAATATTATATTATTACTTATAATATTAAGTGTATAATTTGTACATGTATATCACATATTATGAAGATATAAGGTCACCAAAACAGGGTTCTCTTATTTAAAATACAAAATATCCAGTTTATTATGGGATAAAATCTAATTATTGTAGAGATTTTTAAGTAACGCCTTCATACACGGCCCCACTACAATTAAACAATTAGAATAGAAAGTGTCAGCTTCCAAGATCACACTAGGGATCGCTGGCTTCCCCCTTCCGACTATAAAAAGCTATTTTTCACTGACTAAACCAGTTCTTTCGATAATTTTAAAACACACAAAATCTACGACACTCTACTCAAGATTTCATTCTCCAGGACTTGGTCGTTTTTTTATTAATTTGGACTTAGAATATATTCCTTAAATAATTAAATAACACTTAGAAATTTTAAAGTGAATTTTGATTTGGTGAATCTTTTAGTTTAATTTAATTTGTTCATTTAATAATAATATTTTATTTTTCTTAATGTGGAAATACATATTGTTGTTGAAGCGGGATTATTCTTGATAATAAATTTAACACTCACTTAAATTAATTTGTTTGATTAATATAATAAATATTAAATTTAACAAGAATAAATAAAATTTACAAAATATTTGTTCCTTAATTTTATTTATAATTAAAACTTAAATGAAAATGTTTAAATACAAATGTAACCTTGAGCGCGTCGCTGATAGTTCAGCAGTGGAACGTACACTGATTTATACTACAAGACACATTGCTGACCAGATAAACAAAGATAAAAATACAATATTATATTGTGACTCGCACTAACACATATCTAACAATATTTTAAACATAAAATCTTTTTTTTTATTTTATTTATTGTAATAATAAATCCAACCCAACTTTAAATTTTTATTTGACAGTAAAAATGTATTGTGAGCTTTTCTTATTGGCTAGCTAGTCTCGCCACTGTCTTTGTTTTAACAAACATCAAACCGGCAGACAAACTTAACCCTTTCAGTCCTGATACCAGAAAAAATGAATATAATCCATTTTGTTTTTCACAGGCTATTTAATTATGAGGCAAATAAGTACTAAATTTTTATGTTTTTGAAACCCTATTCCCCCCTTTTTTTGACCGGGTCTTATTTGTCCCGTTTACATTTTTATTTGAAATACTTATTGCAAGTGGGCCTTAGACATCCCGCCCGTCCTGAAAGGGTTAAAGGTCACAATTTTCTTAATTTAAATTGAGATCTAGATTTGTTTAATAATAAATTTATTTGACCAAGTGTATTGCAATCCTATACTTATTAGGTAGCTAGTATGGTCACCAATTACTTTGTTTTAACAAACATCGTGCCGGCAGACAACGCAGAGAAACTTACGAATATATTTGCAGTGTATAATTTTTGTCTTGGTGATTATTGTGCCGCATGTTTAAATAAAATTAAATAAAAATTAATAAATTATACAAGTTTAAATATATTTAACATGCCAAATATTCCCCTACAATTTCAAAAAATTTTACATCAATTCTATATCCCCTTTTACCTTACCCTTGAACCTTATATTTCATTTATTTATTTTTTATTTTATTTTTATTTTTGTTTTATTACACCATGATGATTTTTATTATAAAGATTTTTTAACTCCTCCTAATTACACAATAATTTATCTGCTACTGCATTCTATTTAAAATAAAAACAATATTTATAATTTAATCTTGTATTGTAATACCACATTTTATATCAAAATATTTATCAGCATAATCGCCTGCGTCCATTCATTATAAAAATTGGGTTTCTTTATTGGATTTTTAAACCAAGCTTATTACTTGTCGTACACTCTACCAAAATTTTATTAAGACCAGTTTAAAAAAAAAAAGAATTATAACTGTTTTTAAATGTAGAAAAAAATTTTGAAAAAACATTTTTTACGCTAGTGTAATTTTGAGATATCTTTTAAAGTTCTAAAATTGAGGGTTTTTTTTTAATTTTTGGCTTTGATAGGTTCAATTATCAACTATAATACCAAAATATGGTAATGTTAATAAGTATCTATTACATGGTCTAAAGTACAAATTATTAGTCAATCTCACAAAAGTGTAACTTTTTTTTTAATCATGTAAAGTTTATAGTCACATGAATTAACGAAATTGTATTAAAAAAACCTAGCACAGTGGAGATCCGAAGGAAAACTTACCACTCGGAAATCATGGTCGATGTGGAAGTCACTCAACAGAATTTGAACCGAACCTGGAAGGACAGCTAGCAATATGAAAAAATGGGGAATAAAAGAAGATAGTAAATGCGAATACGGTGGGGAGCAACATACAGATCATTTGTTCACATGTCCACTACTACCTACTAAGTGTAGAAAAGAAAATTTGTTAACTCGTTAATTTTCAGGCAATACAATAAAAGTTGCGGCTTACTGGGAGGGGAGAGAAATATAAAGAAGACCGACACGACAAAAAGAAGAATATTCTATGTTCAAGTGGTAGTCAATGCAAAAAAAAAAATAGGAGTTAATTTTTCTTTTGGAATAATCCATCAATTTCTTAGAATTAAAGACTATCTACAAATTTGCATCGAAGCGTTTCTTATGATAATAATTTTAATCACTGTCAGTCAACATCTAATTAACGCTACCGGGTTCTCCTTCAACATATCCTAAAGAGGGAGGGGGTAATGAAACTTAACCTTATAAATTAGCTTGTTTGTAGATATACAGGGTTAACAAGTATTTGGGAGGATCGCTTCCCCTTTCCACCATACCAGGTGGTGGTGAGGCGGGGGCCTATAATCCCCAATATTACCCTACTAGTATTATTTTATATATATATTTTTACTAATTTTGTTGATTGTAATTCTTATCTATGAGAAAATTAAAAGACGAATAATTTATTTAAGTAAGTATATCTATTTTTATATGGCCTGATGAAAATTCAAAATGGCCTATTTGAAATCTTGCACACCCAAAAATCTGATATGAC